AGAAATTGTGCCTGATGTACAAGAAAGAAGCAGAAAGCAAGCTGGCCGGATTTACCGATAGTGATTGGGCAGGATCACTTGATGATCAAAAAAGCACATCGGGGTACATATTCTGTTTGGGTTCAAAACTCATTTCATGGAGTTCAAAGAAGCAGAAGACTGTGGCTCTATCTTCAGCGGAAGCAGAATATATCGCAGCTACTGATGCAGCATGCGAAGCGGTATGGCTAAAAAGATTCATTTCTGATTTGCAGCAAAGTGAAAATGGTCCAACCATTATTCACTGTGACAACATGTCAGCCATAGCCATGACAAAGAATCCAGTATTTCATGCAAGATCGAAGCATATCGAGTTGCGTCATCATTTCATCCGAGACCTCGTCAACGAAGCACAAATCGTGATGGAATTCATCAACACCGACGACCAGCCAGCAGATATTATGACAAAGGCGGTTACCCGTGAGAAATTCGAGAAGTTCAAGGAGCTACTCCGAATTGCAAATTAAGAGGGGGTGTTGAATGGTAATTTGCAATCAATCTATCACTACAACATCACACATGGTAGGAACCCCATTATATCAAGAAACAAGCTCATTAAGACTACCTATCAAATTATGCAAGGAAAACAAATCCACGTGAAGAAAAGATGTTTGAACATCCAAATAATATTGATGTTCTCCTACAGACATATCTCATGGCAGCAATTAATCAAGCATGGTGGAAGGATAAGCTTACAGCTTTGACAAAGAATGGTGGAGCCAAAATAATACATGCATGGACCTAGGTAGTAATTGTCATTGGGTTTTCTTTTCATATATATATATGGTGTACGTATGGGTTTGCTAAAAAATGTGTCAGGGAGAGTGGCATAAACTAAAAGAAAGAAAAGCACAAGGTGTGTGTATGTCTCTGTGAGTTAAAGCATAAGCCAATTAGTATAATGCTATGTTTGTTTGAGTGTTTCTTAAATTGAGTGATTAAACACCATATGTTTCCTTTGTGTTGATCCAAAATCATACCACATTTCTGCTAATCCCCAACAGATGGCTCCAACAGTGATGCGATGGTTGTTGGGGAATTTCACACAGATCTAGTGGGAGTGGTCGGAGGGGCAGAGAAAGGGGAAGGGTTTTTCGAGACGATGAATATCCAGCGCTGATCGTCGCAGGGAGAGGAGAGCAAATACTTGATCTGGCTTTTCGCTTCCATCGCTGCTTGCTGCTTGCCTGCTTTCCCATCTCACGATCTGGGTTTTCCTTCAGCCGTCGCTATCGCTTCATCACCTCCCGATCTGGGTTTGCTTAGCGCCGCCGCTAGATTGCAACATCAACCCACAGTCGTAGCAGCGCAACAATATTACGGAGGGTTCCGCAGCTAAAGCAACTCCAGCGTCGGTGTCGCAGTTGGAGGAGAGCTCGACGACGACTATTTACAAGCTTGGAGGAGAGCTTGGCAGAGAAGAGTTAGGGAAAATTATAAAAAATATTTTTTTTTTAATTTCAAAATTATTATTTTTATAATTCAAAATGATGTGGCAGTATAACGTGGAACCAACTTGGAAATTGTGCTGATTTGTCGCTGACGTGTGCGACGATTTGGCATCTTAGTCAGCGTAACGTTAACCTAACTAACGGAGTCTCTAACACCGTTAAAGTTTGTAACGAAAATGGCTAGATTTGTCATAAAATTTTCAAAATTCTGGCTATTTCGTGTATTTTGATAATTGTGGGTATATAGGGGTGGCAGTCGGTCAGTTTCGGTTTAACCGAAAACCGAAAACCCGGTTATCGGTTAAACCGAGCCACCCCCTATAGATGCTGACCACCGACCTTGAGAGAGGTCACGGTTAGCCAGCCAACCGACCGGTCGGTTTTAGGCTCGGTTAGCCGGCCAACCGGAAAACTACATTTTCTACACACAAAAAAAAAAAAAATAAGAAAACAAAATTTCTGCACCACTCATGTCAAACCTTATCTCCTCCTCTCTCCTTCCTTACTCCACCATTTCACACCCACCAAACCTTATCTCCTCTTCTCACCTTCTTCCTCTCACCAAACCACTTCTTCTCTCACCTTCTTTCTCTTCGCCGATCCTCCACGACGTCAACTGCACGCAGGTCGTGGCCGCCGAGAACGTAGCTATGAGGTCCCTTCCTTCCCTGACCACATTCTCCCCAGCCGCGAAGGGGGCGAAGGAGACCGCGAAGGGGGCGACACCACCTGGGCTAGGGGCTCTTGCGCCACAAACAGCAGGCAGCGAGCCGTTGCGTTGCGAGGCTGCAGCGTGAGCCCGCCGGCAACGTCGGAGATGGCGACATCAGTTTCGACCTCCACGAAAAGGACGCCTTGGCCACCGCAGTCGATTTCGAATCTGCCGGTTTCATCTCGGGCCAATCTCCCCGCTGCCGGGAAGAAGGCGACGAGGGCCTAGCTCAGGGACTCCTTCATCACCCTGTCGTCGAGGAAATTGTGAGAGCCGTCGTGCCAGTAAGGTTGCAGCATCGTCATGTGAGCATTATTTTGGACGAACAACTGGTCCAAGTTGGAGAGCCACAGGCGCTGGGGTTTGGGCGGCCGGAAGGGTTGAGCGGCGGAAGTTGAATGATTTGAGAGGAGGAGGGAGTCGATTTAGGGTTAGGGAGGAGGAGGATTGAAGCGGGGTCGTTTTGGGGAAAGGGAAGGGGTCGGTTAGCCGGTTAACCGCCGGTTTCCGACCCCGGTTAATCGGCTAGCCGAACCTCTTCCCATCTCTACCGCCAACCGACCGATGCATGCAGAAATGGTTTTTTGGTTAGCCGAAAACCGGTCGGTTTGGTTGAAACCGTCCGGTTAACTGCTAACCGGAAACCGTTCTGCCACCCCTATGGATATATTTGTCACAAACGTGAAAGTTGTGACTATGAAAGTGATTTTGCCTTAACTTTTTCCCATCCAATCAAAATTTTATTTTCCCCCCTAATGTTTGATGACTCAAATGTTTTTAATTTTTCTTAAGCGATATATTTTGACGAAATGTGTCATTATGATAAAATGTGACAGAAACAAACTATTCTGATGCTACTCATCCAAGCATGGTTTATCGGAAAGTTTGAGGTTAGCTGATTCATGCTTTTGAATTAAGTTTTGTAAGTAAAGCTTTGAAACATAAAAACGTATGTCTAGGTGGTGTAGTTGGTTATCATTATCATGGTTGTGATGTCGGTAGAGTGCTGACTGGTTGAACTGGTGTCGCTCATGAAATCAATGAGAACACTACTGATATTATTGGTATGATCGATTTACGACCTTTAAACAAAATGACGATATTTTGATGAATTAATTAATGAGATGATAATTTATTTTTATTTCATAAATTGTAAAGCTAAATACTCATGTTATTTGTTAGTTCAATATAAATATTAAAGTATTGAAATTAAATGTTATATTTAAATGTGCGTATTTATTATTTTATTTTGCATGTGAACATAGATTGTAATAAAATTGTCCGCAATATATTTTATATATGATTACATTTATTTGATGTTACTGTCTTGTCATATTTTACATATTTTATTAAACCAGTAGAATTGATAATAATCAGTTTTCACTGGTCGAACCATTATACTTACTAAACGGCACAACGATATAAAATATAAACCGATTTTATCGTGAGTCTCACATAAAAGGGAACAGATCACGTCAGTAACTTTATGATGAACCATGAGTAACCCGTCCATATCAGCATGACATCAGCATTTTTCTCTCTCTTGAAAAGCCTTTAATTTTTCCCTCCTTAATCTTTGACGGACGATTTTTCACTCGTTTTAAGTTGAAATTTAATTTTTTTTGCACAGTTAGATCAAATTAATTGTGCTCTTTAAAATGATATCCACTTTGATATATTTTTCGAACAAAAAAAATTGAACCATTTTTTACCAGTCTATACCATATGGTATTGACTGGTATTAAAATAAGAGCATACATATGGTTTGAAAAAGCGTACCATGGTGGTATGAACAAACAAAGACTGTTGGATGGTTGAATACATGATAGTAGAGGTATATTAACTATCATTTACGACTTTTAACCTTGTGTACCATAAGATACCACCCCATACCAGGGTGGTATTGTATGGTATTTTTTGGTCCTGTAATTTGTTCACCCAGAAATTTGTAGATCCAATAGATCATGATGATCTCGTTCCTTATGTGCAAACGTTTTCAAAAACGAATTAAAAACGAAGAAAAGACCATATGGTATGCAGTTGGTACCGAGAGGCAAGAAAATTTTTTTCTAAAAAAATATTGAAAATGGATCTCATTTTGTAGAGTACAACGAACTCATTCCATCTGTGCAAAAAAATTTAAATCCGAGTTAAAACAAAGAAGATATGGGCCGATTAAGAAACCTAGAGAAAATAAAAATAACCTTTAATTCTTCATACTTAGATCTTGATTTTCTAAATAAAGAGTTTAGATTTAGTTATTATAGGTACATAACCCATTGTTATGCACCTTATCTTGAGCCTACATAAAGGTCCCATCCGAACATGTGCCTCGACATTTTTTCCCGTAATCATTGAACGCAGCGTTTCATATTCATCGCTATTTGCCATCACTAGAGGTGGCAATTGGATCGGATTCGTGGATTGGATTGGTGGGATCCATGGATCAAATGGATTGGATCCAATGGATTGGATCAAATGGATTGGTGGATTGATTCATGAATCCAAATGACATCCAAGGCTTGGACCAAAATGTAAATTTTGAAAAGTTTAGGTACTAAAATGTCATAATGAAAAATTTTAGGTACCAAAATATAATTTTCTAATGATTTTTTTCGTATAAAATATAAATTTTAGGTACCAAAATATAAAATATAAAAAATATAGGTACCAAATCGTAATTTGCCATTTGGATTAAGTGGATAATTTGGTGGATGGATTGGATTGGATTCATGGATTTGGATCCTAATTGCCACCTCTAGCCATCACGTTACCTCACGCTAACCGCATCGCTTCGCCAAAAGAAAAAACAAATCATCAGTTCCCTGGGCCAGGCCAACACTCTCTTCTTCCCCGATTTTCTCCATTTCTTACCTCTCCGATTATCCCAATCCGCCACAACCTTGAACCTTCTGTACGTTCGTTTCTTCTCCTCTTTTGTTGCTAATTGTCCTCAAGGTCCTCTCGCTGCTGTCGATCACCAATGGAGTGGGGTAACGTGACAGCGGAAGACTTAATCGACGCACTCCGCGAAGTCGACTGGTCATCACCGCCGCGCCCTCTGGCGGAGTTCTTCTCTAGATTCACCGTCCCTAAATCCTCCGCCGCATGGAACAGCCGCCTCAAATGCAATCTCTACTAGTAACGCTCTCTCTCCCTTATCTCTCTGCTCTATTTTAGTCCCGATCGCGGTACAATTAGACCATGAAAGCCAATTAGGCAGGTACTCAGATTCGTTTGCTTCGGTTGAACTCGATCGAAACAAAATCAAATTCCTGTATTTGAACTCGATCCCCAGTTCAAGCGCCCTAACTGAGGCGGACCTCTGCTTCTTTTGTTGCAGCTATCGGACGAATTACTTCATTATGATCGTTCTAATTCTCGGTGAGTTAAGATACAGTTGTTTGTTTGTTATTGCTGTTCCTCTCTGCGTTCCTACCTCCGGTTTGAACTCTCTCTTACATCATCTGGCTCACACGTTGCGCAGGTCTCGGTTTTCTCAGAAGGCCTCTTTCTATTGTGGCGGCTCTTTCCACCGCTCTTTGCTTCGCTTTTCTGAATGACAGGTTCAATTTCGCTTCTGCTCTCTCCCTAACTTCCTCCCCCTTATATTGTGTTTTGTTCCGTAGCTGTTTCTTCATTGTGTCCAAGGCTTCTGGGGTGCTCTGTGAATTTGTTCCTGGAGTTTGTGTTCTAACTAAGCACCAAATTAGGCATTTCATCAGTTGATTTTAATGGACCTAACTTGGGAGAAACATGACTATGAAGGGGCTCTCTTTTGGTTTCCATTACATAAGAGTTTCTGATTGCTTTGATTGGGTTTCCTTGTTGGTCATTGTATTATGTGTTGTTTGCTGAAAGAGGGGTTGTCTGACAGCTTTGCAGGGACCTTCAGTGAGAAGGTAACAAGAACTGTGAGGCAATTCTCTCCGCATTTAGCTGCAAAGATGCGTCCTCCTTTCACGTAAGTGGACTATTCTGCTGCTATATTTCAGGGTAGCAAATCTTGCTATGCCATTCACCGTTTTTGCCAATTGCAGACCTGTCATTCGTGGGCGCCGATCTGCTAAGAGATCGATATACATATGTGGCCAGCCTCGTTCAGCGTTTGTTGCAGCAGCCTCACTTGGTACTTCCAACGCCCTTCAGTCCATTCTCTCCTTTTAATATAATGTGTCATTTTATCTCCTGATCCAATATGAAAACAAATACTCAATGTGTTTCTTCCTTTGTGCAATTTTGGTAGTGAGTTTCTTCCTTTGGTATGTCTCATGTGGGCTCCTCACTCTCTCATGGGCGCTCGCCATTGGACTTCTTGGTCTGTTTCTCACTTTGACTTTCTGGAGTTTTATCCTTGGAATTCGCATGCTTGCTTCACTAACCTTCCCTTCCTCTTCTCTTATCTCAGCCACTATAATTCATGCTAGCTCTAGAACACCTAATCTCAAAGCTCGACTCAACACATTCAGAGAGGAATTCCGGCATGTCTGGCGCAACCACAATGTTCTGTAGCTTATAGCTGGGAGTTGAGGATGTGAGTAATTATGTCTGCTTGTTCTCTCTCTCTCTCTCTCTTATAGCTCCCTGTGTGTCATTTCGAGTTATTGGTCTCATTGCATTCTGGATGTTGGGAGGTACTGGAGAGTGGCTATAAAAGTGATGGCTATCCCATGATTGCGATTTGGATTAGGTCTTTTGGTTGTGTATTTGGGGAACTGAAATTTGCAATAGCTTGGAGCTAAACAGATGTGTAGTTTTATGTTGACTCTTCTGATGGTATTGTATGCATTTGAAAGTGCATCTGTTATGTCAATGCATCAAAATGATCCAATCTCATGTATTTCAAGGTAGGAAATTTTTGAAAATGTACTCTTGAAAAGTGGGTCCATATGACCAAATGTCTTTCCTTTTCCCCTTTTTTTTGACACTATTGCACTCAACCGAACAATGGCTTTTGCAAATACATCTCAATAGCATATGTGGTAGAGACGAATATCATTAAATTTCCTAATATCATTGCATTTTGCTCTCTAAAGTCTAAACTAGGCAGGCACCATCGCTCATATCCCATATGAACTCACTGACTTAGGCAGCCGAGAACAGCGCTGTTTGATTTCCGAGTTAACCTGTAACCTGTTTTGACCATGCAGAGCCGCTTTTGTTGAATATGAAGCTCGTTCTGTTGCTGCTGCTAACTGGTATGCAAAAGCTCAGCTGAAGGTTTGCCGAATTTCTTGCAAGCTCCTGGAAGCATGTAAATCACCAGGCCTCTTCATTCTGTAAAGCCAACTATCTATCACTCTTTATTGATTCTTTTTAAAAAATAGCTTCCATTTATAGTCCATGCGCGAGGGAAGTTCTGATGCATTAGGAAGCATGGACCATTATTACGGTTTACGGACCTGGTTAAAAGCCTGTTGATGTCAAGAGATCAGGCATGACTTCCGCATAAAAAGTATTGAGTAGTGTTTCAAATTGTATTAGTTGTTTTCGGACTGTAGTCCTTTACTCCTTTACCCTTTCTCTTTGTTGTTGTTGTAGTTGATTGATACATTGAAATTACCTTAAACTTCAACGAGTATCATATATAGAATAGATTATAGAATACAGCGTTTGGGCTCGGACTGTAGTCCTTTACCCTCCTTAGATATTGGATAAAAAAGGATGCATGATTCAGAACGAAGATAACCAAACTGGACAGCTCAGAAACATGCATTGGCGCCGACACCTTCGAGCAGGAAATGATAGCCTAATTCTATTCCCAGCCAACCCTTTTGTGATTTGCTATTGTTGGCAGTTTGGGGGTTGGTTAACTTGCTAACACCATTAGAAAAATGACCGCAAATACATACATTAAATACACATTGGGAATTAAATGTACCATAGTAATTATTTATTTATTTTTCATATTAAAACCTTAAACCTACACTAAATACATTCTCTCTCCCTTTATTTGATTCTTCCTTTTCCAGCAGCCTCCGATCACTAGGCTTCCTCCGACCGCCACACTTCTCCGGTGAAAATCCCATCGGTAGACTCCCTCTGACCACCTGCAAAAAATGTACCACTGCACTGATAGCGATATCAGTGCACTGGTACCAATGTCATATCTGAGTATCAGTGCAGTGGTACAACATATCAGTGCAGTGATATATTTTCGCAGGTGACCGGAGAGAGTCTGTCGGCGGGATTTTACCGGCAAAGTGTGGTGGTCGGAGGCTGCTGGGAAAGGAAGAATCAGAGATATGAGAGAGAAGGATCAAAGATGAGAGAGAAAATTGTATTTTGTATAGGTTTAGGTTTTTGTTAAAAACAAGTAATTAATGTGGTGTATTTAATGCTTACTTTGTATTTAATAACTGAACATTTATTATGTCTACCTTCATTAATACTTGTCAATGATTAATTAAAAAATTGACCAATTGAGAAGGGGTGTCAAAAAACCAATCCCTTTGAGGGTAGTGTCACGACCTTACTCTTGATCGTGCGACCCTAGCTCTCAATTCCGTTAGAGCGCTAGGCAGCCTTCTCTCAAACTCACAAGCAAGCAAAGAAGCAAGAACAAGACAAAGAAGATGGGAGAACTCTCTAGTGTGTATTACTCTAAAAAATGATGGAATGAGTACAAATGAGGAAGATGGCTCCTTATATAGGCCTCTCCACATACAAGGCATCAATGCCCCTCATCACTACCCCACATCAATACACCCATAAAGTCCCCCCATAATGCACTCTATAAATGTCACCCATTATGTGACTCATAAGTGCACCATTAAACTCTCTTAAAGTGGAGAATCCTAGGAGCATCTCTATGCTACTAGTCTTCCATACATGCCACATGTGCAGCCGCCATGTTGTCACCTTGTTGTCGCCATGTCATTTGCCACATGTGACATCCTCTCCCACCTATGCTCGCGACGCCCTCGTCGCGTCCTCTTGATGGAAAGCCTCGATCAAGTCCTTGTTCTTCCAAAGCGTGAGCTCTTTCTCCCAAGTTGATTCACTCTTCGGAAGGTTGCGCCACTTGACCAAGTATTCTACGAAACTTGGATATACGCCACGATGACGAATGACACGACGCGCCATGATCTCTTCGACTTCATGGTCATGTGTCTTGGTGATGAGTATTGGTGCGTGATGCGACTCTCTTCGCTGCTCGTCCTCCTTGTCTTAGTGGAAATCCTTGAGTTGGCTCCCATGAAAGACCTGATGGATCTCCAAGTGCGACGGCACCTCCACCTTGTACGCCACCTTGCCAATCCTCTTCACGATAGGGAATGGCCCTTCATAGCAGCGAAGCAGTCCTTTGTGCACGTTCTTGAGATGCTTGAAGCGGTGAGGGTAGAACTTTACCATCACCATGTCTCCCTCTTAAACTCCAAGTGTCGCCTCTTCTTGTCCGCCCACTTCTTCATCTTCTTACTAGCGCGGGCTAAGTAAGACTTGACCATCTCCATCTTCTCGTGCCAGCCTTTAGCGAACTTGTAGGCTGCCAGACTGTTGCCTCTATACCCCGTTGCCACCGTCGTAGGCGTCAATGGCTGCTGCCCTGTCGCCAACTCAAATGGAATCATGTTGGTCGACTCACTGCCATGCAAGTTGTAAGAGAATTGTGCCGTATCCATCAACTTCACCCAATCTCGCTGGTTTGCACTCACGTAGTGCCACAAGTACACCTCCAACAAGGCATTCACCCGCTCCGTCTGTCCGTCGCTTTGAGGATGAAATGCCGTCGAGAAGTTCAAGTCTGAGCCCATGATCTTGAACAACTCTCGCCAAAATTGGCCCGTGAAGCGCCCATCTCTGTCGCTCACGATGTTGCTAGGAATGCCCCAATACTTGACCACGTTTTTGAAGAATAGTCGCGTCGCATCCTCTGCCGTCATGTCTTTTGGCAGGGAATAGACAAGTCTTCACATACATCTCCACGTCGTCTCTCATACGCGGCCAGAAGTGTGCTTATTCGATGAGAGCTTGCGTCCTTTTGATGCCGGGGTGGCCCGCCCACTTGGAATCATGGCACTCCTTCATGATCTCCTTCCTCAAGTTGGCCCACCTTGGCACGAACACACGCTCTCCCTTGGTCATGATGAGCCCATCCTTCATCCAAAACCGTCGAGTCTTACCTTGCTCGATGTACTCCGCTACGGTTTTGGCGAAGGGGTCATGGCCAAGGTCTTCGATGATTCGCTCCTTCAAAGGAAACACGGGCTGGTTGATGCTTGCGGCTGCACTCTTGTAGCTAAGAGCATCCGCAACGGAGTTTGCCTTGTATGACGCCCAGAAAATCTTGCCACCTCGCTTGCTTAGGGGTGAGCTTCTTCTGCGTGAGAAAGTAGCTCGTGCCACGTTGTCCGTCCGAACTACGAACTTCGACCCCAACAAGTAGTGCCTCCACGTGCGCAAGCAATGCACCATGGCCGTCATCTCCTTCTCTTGGACCGTGTATCGCCTCTCCGTCTCATTGAGCTTACGAATCTCGAAGGCAATGGGATGCCCATCTTGCATCAAAACACCACCAATCGAGAAGTCGGATGCAACGGTCTGCACTTTGTAGGCCAACGTCCAGTTGGGGAGCACGAGCACGGGCTCCTTCATCACCGCTGCCTTCAAGGCCTCGAATGCTTCTTGGCACCTTTCCGACCAATCCCAAGCCTTGTTCTTCTTCAAAAGATCCGTCAAGGGTGTGGCAATGTTGGAGTAGCCCTGATGAACTTTCGATAGTAGTTTGCAAGGCCGAGGAATGACCACAACTCTGGGACCTTCGTAGGCCGCTCCCATTCTTGGATTGCCTCCACCTTCGCCCCATCCATCTTCAACTTGCCTCCACCAATGATGTGCCCTAAGAATGGAACCTTCGTTGCGGAAAATGTGCACCTCTCCCTCTTGACATACAACTCGTTGTTGCCAAGGACTTGGAAGACTTGACGTAGGTGCTCGGCATGCTCATCGAGTTTTTTTCTGTACACTACGATGTCATCCAAGTAGACCAGGATAAACCGGTCCAAGAATGGCTCGAACACTTGATTCATCAAAGTGCAAAATGTGGCTGGTGCGTTGGTGAGACCGAATGGCATCACAAGAAGATGTAAGAGCCATACCTCGTCACACAAGCCGTCTTTGGCTTGTCGCCCTCTGCTATCCGCACTTGATAATAGCCTGAGCGAAGATCAAGCTTGGCGAACCCCATCGCATCTCCAAGCTGGTCGAACAAGTCGGCAATGTTGGGAATCGGCCACTTGTTCTTCACCGTCAACTTGTTGATGGCTCTATAGTCGATGCACATGCGCAACCAAAGCAGTTAAAATCGGGATTTTACCTAAAATCGAAAACTGGGATAAAATCGGAATCATAAAATCGAATCATAGAATCGTAGGATTTTAAGTACCATATAGAAATTAACATATAATAATATTAATAAGGTAAATAATTAATAACACAAAGACTTATAACCTTTAAAGTGATAATTTTCAAGATTAATGTTCCAAAATCATCATTTTAATTGTTATTTAATGCGTAACTCAAAATAATTTATGAGGAGGGGATAGAGCTCATGGGGTTTGGCTCTTGTTTTTCATGTTGTGTCTAGGTAGTTTAACTCAAAGTAGTATCCCGACATCGTCTACTAAGCATGATTTAAAACTAAGAATAACTGAAATCCAATAAAATAATTAATGTCATTGGTTTGGTACAAATATATTCACTAATCAAATAATTTATTAATAATGATGTTAATTCTAACGCACTTACAATATTCTTATAATTGTTTTACCAATGGGTTAAACAAGAAGAAGGGAAAGGGGTTGACCAAACCATAATCAGTTTTTTTTTTCTTCTTTTCAAATATTCTTTTAATAGGAAAAATATATGAGAAGATTCCCGTCATTGCCCTTTCCACCGAAACAGTTCTGCTTCTTTTGAATTGGCTCAAGCTCACTATTTTGTTCACATAGGATCAAAATCCCGATTTTGGTACGATTATACGATTTTAACGATTTTAATCCCGATTTTGAACGATTTTATGGTCCACCGATTTTATAGTAAAATCAGGATCGGAATCCCTAAGTAAAATCCTAAAATCCTACGATTTTACGATCAAAATCCCGATTTTGACTGCATTGTGCGCAACGACCCTTCCTTCTTCTTTTGGAACAACACCGGTGCTCCAAAAGGAGACTTTGATGGCCGCATGTAGCCTGCATCCACCAAGTCCTTGAGCTGCCTCTGCAACTCTTCTAACTCTGGTGGCGCCATGCGGTATGGTGCTCACGAAGGGGGCTTCGCTCCTGGCTCCAACTCGATCTTGTGGTCCACCTCTCTTCTTGGGCAACTCTGATGCCATCACATCATCGAATTCTTCAAGCACACCTTCGATGATGGGAGTTGTGATTCCCGTCGAGCCTCCTTCTTCCTCCATCTTCAGGGACACAAGAAAGGTTGGTTCATTCTTCTTGAACCCCTTCAATACCTGCATAGCGGACAAAGCACTATGAGGGCCATATTCTCTCAAGAGATGGACCGCATGGAACTCCCCTTCCTTCTCCAAGCACATCTTGTTGGAGTTGGGTTTCAAGAGCACTCCCTCCTTGTCGAGGAAGTTGATGCCGAGGATGACTGA